TATATATATAGTTTGTTTGTTTTGTTTGTTTGTTTTTCCCTCCAAATTTCTGGTTTAATAAAGACTCCTTTATTTTGAGGGAAAAAGGTCCCAAACATCAGGCTGTTCACAAAAATAACCCACAGTATCAACTTTAGTAAACAAATCTTAAGACTATTACACTATTTTCTAGAAGATGCATTTGACATGCCAACTCCCATTCACAAAAATACACTGTTACATTTGTGTTGAACAGCCCCACACAGTAAAACTTACACTTCTAACTGAAAGCTGCTCTCAGGTGCTACCCAACCAAATGATACTGCCTTTGCAGTTAGGGAAGCAACTATTGAACTCATCAATGAATGAAAAGAATTGTACTTCCCGCATAACAAGAGATTATTTTTTGGAGACAGTTGATAAAAATCATACATCTGTTTTATTGTTAAGTCATAAAGAGGTATCAAAATTAAAAGCAAAATTACAGGGTAAGACTTAACAAAACCACTAGGAGCATCAGAAGAAGTGAAATGGGCCCAGGCGCAGGGCAGTATGAATTAATGAACATGGGAAGGACAAAGATGGGGAGAACAGTGAGCATGTGCTGAAGATATTAGGGGAGAGGATCTGGTGAAAATTTTGATATTAGACAAGCGCCTAGGTAAAGAAATAATGGATGAGATTTTTAAACCCCACTATATACTTAAGAGTCAGCCTCACCATTGGCACTGTCTCTGTCGTCCTCTCCTTCCTCAGCCTCTTTTTCATCATCCCTGTTCCACTCCAGCTGTTTCCTCTGTTCCTTTTTTATTTTTTCCAGGTTTTCCAGAAGAGAATCCACTTTTTGTTTTACCTGGATCACCTCCTTCTTAATGGCCTGAATGTCTCCTTTCAACTTTCCAGACTTGGAAGACGATCCTCATTGTCCACTCTTAGAACTGAAGCTTTTGCCCCTCCGTGAAGTGTTTCCTGATACATGTTGGTGTTTCGAGGGCACTATAGCATGAACAATAGTAGGTGGTGGTGGAACATATGCTGGGTAACTGTACATCCTGTCATAATAATTGTGCTGAAAGTCATAGTCCAGGGACCAGCAGGTGGCATAATGGCTATGTTGCTGGACTCCCATGTAGTTGACCGTGGTTCAAGTTTCGGACCTGGTAGCTTAAACTCAAGCCGAGCACGTGTGCGTGCATGCCCAAAATCCTGAGAGGAGAATGGAGGAGAAGGGATTGCTGCATGGCCATCCCCACTGGGGGATAATTTCTCGCTTTCTGTCTCCCTCTGTCTTCCTGGCGAGCGCACACCCCCTATAGCAAAAACCTCTCAAAAAAAAAAAAAAAAAAGTCATAGTCCAAGTCAAAAGAGGAGTTGAGTAGAGGGGATAGAGAAGGGTGTTCTGGTACTGACCCCCATACATTTCTACTGCAGATCATTTCACACTTGCTTTTCCTTGGTTCACGTTTGGCTCTGCAGCCAGATTAATATCTAAAACCTGGC